ATAGATGGTTTACCATTTGAAGACAACTCATTTGACTTTGTACACATCAGATCTTTATTTTATACTCTTAGAAAAGCAACGTTTACTGGAACAAATATCTAAAACTCAAACTTCTGAGAATATAATCAATATATGTTGTTTTTTCTAGGCGTCTCATTTGAATAGAAAAATATAAAGATCACGAAATAGCTTAACGTACATTTAGTGGGTTAACACCAGATATTTTTCATATCTGGTTGTTATTAACCACGCTTTACAGGTCTATGATCAATTATCATTGTCACCTATTCTTCCATTTTATTCATGCAATATTATGAAGAACGCATGGTATCAGTAGCACATAAAAAGGCATCAGGCAGCCTTAAAGAATATTAAATTTTAAAGGGTAAAATTTTCAAATCTCTACAACACCTGATACGCTAAAATCACCATCTTCAGATAACGATAGTATGAAGATAGTAAAGTAAACTAATTAAAAAATCAAGTAGCACCCCTAGTTCTATTTCTGCCATCACTGTAATAACGTCGGCCACAAAGTTAACAAAGGCAACAAAGACAGAGAAGTTAACAAATACCGCCCGATTGGGAATAATTGAATCAAAGTACCACCAACGAAAAATAGGATCATTTGTGTTAAAGATACAGTCATGAAATTACTTTTGTAAAATCGCTAATGAACAATATCACTTTTTACATTAATATTAACGATCAAAAAATTCATTTTTTTAAGAAGCGGTAACGATCAGTGAGGAATTCATGGATGTTGAAAGCAATGATGAAGCTTTTGATGGCAGACAGCAAATGAATGTCAGTACCAGATTAGAACTATCTGTTGAATCAACGATTCGTAAACACATATTTCAAAAACATAAGACAAACATAAGTCCTGTGATTTGAGTAAAAAAGGAAATAATGACAGCGATGAATTAACGCGGCATTGGCAAAATAATTCAGGTCCATCGTATTGCACATATTTACAAAGCTACTACTAGCAGATTCATAAATATAAACTAATAATTTCTCATGTGACAAATTAACCGATTCATCATACATACATACTTGACCAATTTGTATCAAATGTGTATTCTTAATAAGAGGAAGGTCGTTATAAATATAATTTAAAAGATTAAAGATTTAAAACTTTACTTTGTTGGTTGTTTTCCTTAAGGAATTCGTTGGGGCCCTTTCCGGTTCCTGGGTTGATGGTCGTAAGGCGCTTTCTCTAAAAATATGCATATGAAATACAGTATTATTCAAATTACCTTATAAACACTTTTACAAACGCAATACCAATTGTACAATAAACATCTACATACATAAAAGACCCGATTTCAATTGTATGGTTGATGTGATCACTACCAAAAAAAGATTTGGTAAAAGCACATGTTGTCATCTGATCAATCTCTTTCTGAAAAAAAATAACAGTTGGATAAGGTCAGTTGGAAAGTTCAAAAGATCCACGTTACATATGTCGTTATTATTGACACGACTTTCAGCTATTATATAACGCTCATTCATTATTAATCAATAATCAGAAATTCCAGACGTAAAATCTTCACGTTTCCCTCATAAACAGTAGCCTTTTCATATCAAAGATGTGGTCACTTATCATAGAAAGCAGCTCTTTTAAAAGGTATCCTTGAATAATGATAATACCGATGATGGTCTTATAGTATGCAAAGGTTTTCGAACTTCATTATTTGTGGAAAAAAGTTTCTTAGTGTACGACCGGATTGCCTTTGCCAATTTCGTTAATGTCATATACCATTTTTTTTTTTTTATATACCAAAAAATACCAACAATAAAACATACTCAAAATTGATCCGTATGGCATGCAAGGAAGCAGTATAAAACAAACCAATCGCTGGCAGTTTCCTCATCCAAAGGAACGAACATCTTTGCTATAGTTCATGGGAACGTTGAATATTTATTTCATTGTGTTGTAGGTGTTAAAATTATCTTGGTAATTAGTTATACAGTGGAGATATTTCGATTATTTGAAACAATTCTATTAACGGACGAAGCTTACAATTGATCATTTGAAGAAAGAAAGTTTCTTCATTTAGGAGGAAATCAAATATGAGAGCAGTCATTATAAATCATCATAGTTATTCAATTATCATCGCCGTAGTACTAAAAGATAGCAAGCGTAACGATCAAAAACTTTATTATATATATATATTGTGTACACATTCATATATATATATTTTTATTAAAAAAATTTTATTAATAGATTGCAAATGACAATCATTACTTGAAAAACTAAATAAAAAAACAAATTTGGTCGTGAAGATAATAACAATAAACAGATGAATTTCTTTGGAAATCTTCTAGATAGAATGGAAGGTTTTAGTGGAATAAGTAAAAATAAATTTTTTTAATTTGAAATTCCAAATTTGGCAGTTTAAAAATGTATTAATTTAAATTATTGTAGTACAAACAGATTTGGAATTATCAATAATAAATTTTTCGAGAAAAAGAAAAAGGATTTTATCATTATCATGTTGTTTCTTCTATCATCATCAACCTTTGTACATGTGAACTAAAATCATAAGATTTCTATAATTTATATAAGGTTTTCTAAAGTTTCTATTTATAATAACAATGAATGAATGAAGGGATGGATTAATAATTTTTTTCGTTTACAAATTCGTTCATTCATTTTGCTCTTTATTAAATTTCTTAACCAAAATTCACTTGATTCTATTACAAAATTGATTAATGCGCATATTTTTATTGCTTTAATAAGAATAAAATTTTTTACCAGGTAACGTATATATATATGTGCAAATAATAAATAAATAATTAATCCAAAGAAATTTTCTTTAGAGAAGGAAACAATTAATTGTGGTATAATATTAAATGATGTTTGTTTAATTTAGTATTAAAAAATTTAAAAATAAAATTTAAAAAAAAAGACAAATTTTTTAAAGAAATTCTTTTTTAATCATTCATCCCAAGATGGAGAATTTAATGTAGATTATTTCATTCCAACTCCGTCTAGAACCAATTAAATAATAGAAAACTCGATTCTAAAAAAAAATTCCGTAAAAGTAAAAAAAAAAAAAACAAAGAAAAATCAAAAATTCGATTGATTCCAAATTTGTTTGTTTGTGTTTATGAATTCTTCGCGAAAAATTTAAAAAGTCTAATATTTACTACATACATAATATAAATTATCATCGATGATAAAAGAAGACGAGTTAAAGCCATTGTTATTTTCGTTTATCGAAGGAGTAAAAATATCCGAAATTACTGGTGAATCAATAATATTATTGTCATTTGAGAAACTATGATTAGAAGTTGATATTGGTGTTGTCATTATTGGTGTTGTAGATGTACTGGCATTTCTGTTACTATTCGGATGAAGATTATAATTATAATTACAAGAAGAAGGTGAATTAGAGGGCGATGATGGAAGAATAGGACTATTGATGTTGCTATTGATATTGCTATGAATCATATTATTATTATTACTAGGAATTACAATATTATTGTCGTCAATAATATTGATGTTAAAAATGTTATTATTCGGATATTTTTGCATTTCTTCGATTCGTAATGTCAAAAGATCGCTGGTATTATTTGAATTGAGTTCGAGTATGGTATTTAAAGAAGGAATAATTTTTGACAAATCTTCATTTTCTTCCAATATTCTAGATAATAAACCAGACAAAAGTTCTAAAACCGGACGACAACCAATTTCATTGACAATATTTAAGAGTTTTAATAATAATACACTTTGATGTTGAAAACGGAGAAGACATTTAAATAATGATTGTGAAATATCTCTTTCCAATTGTAAAATATCAATTTTTGCATCCTTAGCGTCAGTTTGTTTTTGATGTTTTTCAAGATTTTCTTGGGTTTTTCTCAAAGTTTCCGTCATTCCATCAATTTGTCTAGTCAAATTTTCAACTTGTCTATTTTTCCTTGGAGATTGATCGAAAACACAAGTTCCTTTTCCACAATTTGTACAATCTTTTCCTGCCAATGCATCGCCATCGCATTTTACTTTTAATTTTCTACAATTCATACACGCTCTCTTATTTATTTTGCCACGAGGTTGACGACGAGTGTTAGCGGTGGTCGTGTTAACTATATTGGAAGTAATGGAAGACGAGGGGCTACTAGCATGAAAAGTTAAAGGTGTTTCGCTGATACTTTCTTTGTCGCAAGAACCAAAGTTGTTGTTATAATTATCATTGTTATTACAATACGTATTAAATTGGTGAAGGTTGAATAAGCCGTTGTTAATATCAGAAATGTTGTTCATTTTTAAAGAATTTAAATATGTATGTTATAAAAAAAAAATACAATATAATATCGCAGAGGTTTTTTTTTTAAAGAAATAAAAATAAATACAAACAAAAAATAATTGTAAAATGATATTGATTAAAAGAAAATTAATATTTTGTTTGCAAAGAAAATAATGAGAGGGGCGAAAAGGATGTATTTATAGTTTTTTTTTTTCCTGCGTAAGTACAAAATCAATAATTTTTTTGCTGCGATGAATATCGAATTATTTGATTATTTGGATTTGGAGGATTGAAAAATAATGGCTAAAACTTCCTCTTTTTATAGGTTCAAGCCACATAGTCGACTGTTTTGTTTAGTGGTGCTACGGAAGGAAAGAAATCTTTTCTCAAATTTTGTGGCTAAATATATTTAATTGGTTCTAGACGGAGTTGGAATGAAATAATCTACATTAAATTCTCCATCTTGGGATGAATGATTAAAAAAGAATTTCTTTAAAAAATTTGTCTTTTTTTTTAAATTTTATTTTTAAATTTTTTAATACTAAATTAAACAAACATCATTTAATATTATACCACAATTAATTGTTTCCTTCTCTAAAGAAAATTTCTTTGGATTAATTATTTATTTATTATTTGCACATATATATACAGTAATTATGTTCAATGATCAGCAAATGTCAGAAAGTGTAATCTTTAAATGGTTAGATAATTTAATAGTTATAAACGACTGAATTAGTATTAAATTTTTTGATTCAGTGTGGTACTCTTTTTGTATATCCGTATTTAAGGACCTTTAACAAAAATGGGAAATAAATATTTTTACATGATATTGATTTTTGTGTTTCACCTGTCTGTGGCAGATGACCAAAGGTCGGCAGACTTGTCTAGAGCATCTGTCTTCGATGTTAAATACCGTGATATTCTTTCTATCAAGAAGATTAGAGGAATTCTTGTATTTTTACGAGCCTAATATTAACATACTCAAATATTTTTTTTGAATCAACAAATAGTATTAATATAATCAATGGCTTTTGAACCAAACAAAGCTTCCCAATCGAGGACATTCAAACGATTATCACAACAAAAGGAGATCAGGGGAGGGAGTCTTGTACAATGTTGGACATTCACCAATGCGCTACAAATTTTAAAAAGCAGCAATTCCTGAGGAAGTTCGGATCTTAGGGTTTATGTAAAAGTCCAAAATTACAAAACTAATAAACCAAAAGTCCAGAATTGATTCAGGTGTCCGGAGTTTCTTTGCAAGTCGTAGAGAGCTGTTACACAAATCTATGTATTTATTTATTCATACTAAATCTACTATTTCTTTTCCCTATTTTTTCACATAATTGTTATTACTATGCACCAGAATCATTACTCTCTGAAGATGCAAGGAAATACGCACGAACATTGTAACGGACATGATACAATCAATATTTGGAATACAAAACAACAAGAAAGAAGTTTTAACAAAAAACTCGGTTACTCCACAGTTTGAACAAGTAACTTTTTTTATTTCAGGAATCCATTTTTGTTTACTATTTTAGATTCTATTTTGGATTTTATCATAATTTTTAATGAGTATAATTAAATTTGCATAATCAATTTTGTCACGTGAATAATTAGTAGATTACATCTAACTTTTACTTTTTTATTATTAATAATCTAATATCATCAGCATCTAATTTTTTTGAAACCTCAGCTTTTTATCACGATGAAAATGAATGATAGTTTAACTTATCTAATAGTGTATTATTTTACATGTTGTGTTTATTATATTATATCATTGTCATATTTTTTGATAATAAAATCTATGTGAAAAACTATAAGTTTTATAAATTTCAAATTCGTTTGATATAAGTTTTAGTAATTGTTCATAATCTTTTAATTTTTTTAATTTTTCATGATTATTGTCATTATCCTTATTATTATTATTATTGTTGAAGAAATTTTTATTGTATGATTTTAAGATTCCCTTTTTTTTTCCTTTATTTATTAAATAATTTCTAAAATACCCAATCATAAATATCGATGTTGCTTCTCCAATCTTCCCTGACCATTTACCAATCTGGTAAAGTTTTTTATCGTGATGTATGACTATTTTTTCCTTTTGTTCATTAATATTTTTGTTGTTAGAAATAATTGTACGAAGATTTGAATCATGGCTGTCAACAATACAAGAACTTATATTTCTTAAACTTACATCTTTAGATACTATTTACAACAAATAAAATAATAAATATAATTAGCAAAAAAAAAACATAATCATCATCATCATCATTATTATTATGCAAAAAAATCCTATTATTTACTTGATTTGAGCAAAAAATCAGTCAATGGACCAGTATTATAAGCTCTCGTTTCTGGGTCAGCAATTTCTAGCCAGCCACCAGGTTTAAGTACTCTCAATGTTTCTATAATAATAATGAGAAAAAAAGGAGAAAATTGGTCAATACATTGATCGCTAGTTAGATATTAAACACTTGATCAACCAAACATTATTAAACAGCAGATCGATCCATCCACGCATCTCTCAATCCACATTGATTTTTACCTTTGTAAATAATATTCATCCATTGAGACTCTGTGAAATCATAAAATAAAGATCTGATGTGTACAAAGTCAAATGAGTTGTCTTCAAATGGTAAACCATCTATAATATTTTTTTTTATAAAGTTAACATTGAATGGTTTAATTGTTGGAAACAACGACAGTACATCAATTCCAATAAATTCTGATTTTGGATAATATGATGATATTTCACATAAAAAAGTTCCTAGCCCACAACTATTAAAAATATAATATTATTAGAAAAAGAGGAAGGCGAGAAGGAAATTGATTAATTTTGAATAATTTACCCAACATCTAAAACTTTGGCGCTGCCATTTTTTAGTAAATCTTCAACTGGAGAAGAAAAATTAGATTGCCATAATTCCCTTTGTATATGATGATTCAAATGAAATGTATCATCTGATTCTAATGATTTATTTATAAAAGATTCACCATAATCACCAGTACTAACATTATTATATTTACAATGTCCAAAACCATATAAACTTTTTGATAGAAAGCTTCCCATATTTACTAAATGTTTTAATTTTTTTTTAAAGAAATTCTTTTTTTATTTTAAAAAAAAAACAAATAATGAGAAGAAATGAAGTAATTAATAAAAAAAATAAAAAAATAAAAAAAATTAAATTTACTTTTTATATCCACAATTGACAAACCATTCTAATCCGAAATAAGTTTAATTTAAATGAACGGTGTTAAAATATTTCCGGAAAAAAACCACCAATTAAGAATTAAGAAAATATAAAATTACTAGTTTTAGAAAATCTTTTTTTCTTTTTGATTTAATTACGACATATGAATTCATAGAAAAAAAAAAATGTTATGTAGGTAGTTAGTTACATGTATGCATTAATTATATGTACGGAAAAAATCTCAAAAAGTAAATCTGGGGTAAATCTTTTGTTTAGTTTTGTGATAACATTAAATCATCAAGTTAACAACATTAATTGAATAATATATTTGCTGCGTCCCCGAAAATCAGCACTTGAGAGAATTGCAAAGTTTAATATTAATTGTATATGCGATTATAATCGCTAGCCCGGGTGAGTTGATTGTCAAGTAGTAATAGTAAATTCTTTAAATCTTCCAGTTTTCGAATCATCAAGTTAACTCTCACACACCAATCATAATTGACACATTCCGATATTTGTTTATGTAATACTAATAAAATTTAAAATTACCATATTTTATAAATTGTATTTTTTTAGATATTTTACAGTTTAATGATATCACGATTGACGATATTGATTATATAAGGTTTTTTTAATTTAAAGTTTAATATTTATTTATTTTTTGAAAAAATCACAATCAATTGATTAGTCGAATTTAGTCCAAAGGAAAACCCCTTTTTCCCCTAGCAATTAAATATTCTAAAGTACAATCTTTATCTTCAAGTCGAAAAGCCACCTCAACCTCAACATCTTTCAATAGACCAGTTTCAACGAAAACTTGCTTCAACTCATCCGGATCAAACCCACCTTTATGAGCCACAACGTTATCAACATTGTCTTTATGTCTTTTATGATTCACATCGTTATGAACATGGTTTTCTTGTCCATGTTTTCCCTCATGAAATTTCTTTGAATGAAGATTTTTT